AATAGTCACTTTCAGGGAAAATCGTCGAAATCGACGAAAGTCACATGTATAAAGCGAAATACAACCGTGGGCACATGCTAAGAAGAAAATCTATCTGGATATTTGGCATGACTGAACGTCACACAAATAAAGTGAGTGACTCTTGATATAACGTTCTTAGAAGCTATACTTATTCAACAATGTATTATTGATCATATAATTTCTTTGAAAAACACTCATAAAAGATAGTATTGTGTTTAAATCACTTCCAGAGCTCATAGTTTTTTACATGGGCAAGATGGAAAACATCGCTTCATTGGTATTTAATTTGTTTTTTAAGGTGGCAATGTTCCGCGTGAAGCAACGAGATGCAGCAACTCTACTCCCGATCATTAGAGCACATGTCAAACCAGGTAAGAAAAAAAAATACATCCTGCTCAGCTCAATTTTGTCTACTTCAGGCTCTATGATTGTATCTGATGGTTGGGCCGCCTACGGAGGCATCAGAACCCTCCAGAGAGCGTTTACACACAGATGGGTCAATCACAAAGTAAACTTTGTTGACCCCAGCGATCGACGAGTTCACACTCAGTCGATTGAAGCCACATGGGGTGCTTTCAAACGGGAACTCAAAGCGAAATGTGGCGTCCCAGAAGATCAACTCGACGGATACATGTCGACATACATGTTTAGACGATACTTCGGAAGAAAAAAACTTCTGAACCACCTTCTGATCGAGATGAAGTATTATAAGAAAGAAGATGACTATGATTCAAGTGAATCTGAAATCTCCACGGATGAAAGCTCTGATTACGACGGCGGTGAAGACGAGTCCGATTCCAGCGACCCGAATCATGGAGACGACGATGATGAAGACGGAGCAGATAGTACAGTTGATCATAATAATGGCTATGATGATGATGATGACAATAATGGCGATGATGATAATGATGACAATAATGACTATGAAGATAATGGTGATAATAATGATGATGATGATTATGATGATGACGATATCCAAAACGAGGATGAATCAGAGTTTGAGGAAGAGCAGGAGGGAGAGCAAGAAGAAGAACAGGACGAAGAGCAGGACGAAGAGAAGGAGGATGAGGAGCAGGATGAGGAGCAGGATAAGGAGCAGGATGAGGAGCAGGAAAAGAATCAGGAAGATGAGTACGAAGATGAACAGGAAGAGGAAGATCAATTGACTGAAGCACCGACCACGAAAATCTTCAGAAAAAGAAAACAGTTCGATTCTGATAGAGTTTCATTTGCTCCCAAACAACGAAATGAAAGAAACAATCGCGCCTTTACATTTTCAACAAGACAAACCACAATGGCTGCTCGTTTGAATCGAAATAGAAACGAACGTCGAAGTTCTTCTACCGCTTCTACAATGAGAACCACCACCTCTTCTAAGCCAGAAATGATTATCAAAACCAACAGACCAATTTCGTCAACTACACCAAGGCAAACGACGACCAAAACTCGAAAACCTCGGAAGAAGACACAAAGTCGAAAAGCTGATCCTACAACCACCATCACAACCACAGCAACCATGAGGACCACGACCACCATGAGAACAAGACGAACAACTTCCCATCAGTCGAGACGAACCACGACAGAACCTCGTACGAAACGGACGACGTCTGCCCCTGAAACGAGACAAACAACCATCACCACTCAGAAGACTCGGAATGATAGAAGAAGACGCGGGCGGCCCACTACCACCACTCCAAGATCGACTACCATTACTCCAAGATTCACAACCACTACTCTAAAATCCACTTTCACCGGCCGAAGGAAGTTCAAAGGACGCGGATAAGATCATCTTGTTGCAACCGATATTCTTTTTTTTGTGTTCTGAACTATTTATCCTCTCTAATTCTTATATGCCACACCTTTTAGTCTTATACCTTCTTCTGAATAAAAATCAAAATTACAAAAAAAATTATTTTTAAAACATCAAAACTATTGAAAACATGATTGGAATAAATAAACGTTTCAATCTAACCAAATTTTCAAACAAAAACATGAAAGCTATTCAAATACCCACATCTTTCTTTAAGGACCAGAATTTTTTTTAAGGACCAGAATTTTTTTTTAAGGACCAGAATTTTTTTTTAAGGACCAGAATTTTTTTTTAAGGACCAGAATTTTTTAAGGACCAGAATTTTTTTTAAGGACCAGAATTTTTTTTAAGGACCAGAATTTTTTTTAAGGACCAGAATTTTTTCTAAGGACCAGAATTTTTTTTAAGGACCAGAATTTCATACTAGAGCCACAATTTGTGGGGCGTCAACGAGCAAAGCAGCTGACGTATCATTTCGGATTAAACCAAGCATATGTCAGTTTTTGTTTCTCATCTCCATTCCAGAATTACCTCATTTTTCTGATTTCAAAGTTGTTCACTTTACAAAGGAAAGTCGTTATGAAAGCTTATTTGGCTGGCGAAACTTCGTTTGAAAATTTTCCTTGAAACTGGAAGGAATTGAGAATGCCAATTTTAGATTTTCGAGTATTTCGAAATGAGAGGAATTGGAAGATGAAGGCGGAAAAGTCAGAAAAGGATTCCCAAGATCCTTCAGCAGCTGTTGAGTCGCCAGAACTTGAGGGTCCAACTCAACCAGCTCCATCGACTCGGCCTAGTATTTGTCTAGTTGCTCCAGAGTCACCAGTGCCAACAACGGAACCTGGTCAATATCCATCGCTTCCACATTGTCCAGCCAATCAGCAAGAACTCAAGTATCCAGAAGAAGCTCAAAACCCAGAAGATCTAGTGGAAGATGAACAATATGACACTCAAGAGCATGAGACGATCCCTTCACATGGAGCATTACCAGATTGGGAGTATCTGTATGCGTACGATCTGCAAAAGTCAAATTATCAAGCTCCATGTCCTCGTCCATCAATTTGTCATCTTCAGAAAACTGTGGAAGTTTCCCCATAGGGCAAAGTCTCTATGAATCTAGCTCTAGATGCTCAATTAGAAAAGACCACAGCTGATTCCCCTGGGCCTGCTCCAAAATCGCTTCTTTCCTTAGTCTTATCTGGAGAAGGGGACTACCCCACGTCTCCAATGAATCCAGGACCAAATAAATTCAATCGAAAACATTCACCATCTTTGGAACTTCTTACTGATGAGCTATCCAGAAAACCAGTTTCAATCACATTTGCTCAAATTATGAATCGTTACCAACCGCCTGTCAGGCATCCGTATCTAGGACAATCACAGTCAAGAGAACACGTTGGATTTCTCCTGAAACTCTTGATAATAATATGAATTTTGCTCCAACCTCAAGCCCCAGACGTCCAGCGCCTGTTTCACGGGACGAAATCATCAATCGAAGTACTGGAAGCAAGCTTCTACTGATGACTTTGTAGAAGATGGAATCCAGCAGATGCTTCCGACGCTCCCACAACCAGTTCAATCAGCCAGATCAGCTCAAAGAACCCCAAAGGATCGATCTCCAGAGCAACGAGTGTATAAGCCAACACTTCTGAAAGCTGTTGATGCTTCTAGTCCAGATCCAGTTCTTGTAACCAGTACGATAGCTTCAGCTAGTTGTCTTTCTTGTGGTATGGTTAGTAAGGATCTTGGCCCATCCCCAAAGGCCGAAGTCAATGAGCTCGTCCCGCCAACAACAGATCGAACAATCCAGTTACGTCAGGAACGCATGAAGCTCTATGGTTGGTGGTTCGAGGAAACCCACCTTCCTTTCAATCATTCGATAAACTATGAAAACTGGACGGTGAGTGTTCTTATATATTTCTGGTTATTTTTTTTCCAGACCAAACAGTTTGAAGAGTTCGCCATACAATTTTTGCCATTGGATGTGGTGATAGTTCTTGTGAAAGAGAATTTGGACGGCTCAAAAATGGATAAAATCAGATGTGGGGACACTGGACTGTTGGGACATCTGCACGCTGGATCGAATGGGAAATTTTCTTTGGAGCATTGGAATTTGATTAAAGAAAACATTGAGGACATTTGGGCGTATAAGAGATATAAGAAGAAAAAGAAGGAGTTGCGTAATGCCATCTGAATTTTGAATTCCATGTTTTCTAGATCTCCCTTTTTTAATGTTTTCCTCTGTTTCCGTTTTTTTTGTAAATTCTGCTCAATTGTTTTCTCGTAGCTTTGTAATGATCGATGGATTTTTGTTTTACTGTAGATTCGATTCTTTTTTTAAAGGTGGGGGGACATGAAAAAAATAATGTTCTCGAAATTCCGTTCAAAGATGCCCCTCGAGAAGTTGAACTTGTGAGGGCGAAGAAGAGGGTGCGGCGCCGCTACCGACTGAGCCACGCGGGTAAAGAGAAAGCGCACGCCCGATTGCATACATAAAGGCGAGGACGACAGCTGTACGCAGAGTGACATTAAGCGTTGTACACCGTGACGGTAGAATGCATACTTTAGCTACAAAAAAACTACGAAAAATCTCCTGTCCCCCCACCTTTAAGCATCTTAATGTTTGGAAATTTACCCCGACTCTCATAATAATTTACCAGTCGGTTTGAGCCCCTATCGGGGGCTCAACCTCCTGGCTTTTGTTTACTGTGACATTCCCATTTTCCCTGTTAACATAATTATTGAATCGACAATTTTCTGCATTTCTAACGTCTCGAGATTCAAACTGAGTTTCACAAATGTTTGAATTTCTTAATTGTAAGATGACTAAACTTTTGTTTCTGGATTTTTGAAGGATAATTTCAAAAAGTAGTTGTTCCTCATTTTCTCGAGAAAATTACAAATAATGTTTCAGAAATGTGTGAAAAAGACAGAATTACAATTCGACATTTATAAACTTTATTCGCCGGATAAAAATCGTTTAGAGTCAAGCAACCTCACAAAGGCTTACTGATTCTGGCTTGAAAAATCTTCAAAAATGTAGAGTAACTGTAATTCCGGAATTCTGCCCTAACTCTTCTAATCCCCTAGGACAGCGTGTGAAAAAAGAAAACATTTAATGTGTGAAAAGAGAGAACATTTAATATTGATAACAAGACATTTTAATATATTGAATTGTTTTTAATTTCTAAAAACTAGAAGAAAAATAGGATATCGTGCCTTACAAGGGAATGTCGTTCAGAAAGCTCTTCAGAATTTTTTCTAAAATGGCTCATTTATAGAATCGAGTATGGGCTTTTACGTAATAATAGTCTCTACCTGCAAAAATCGCTGAAAATCGAGAAAAATCGATCTGAAATTATAGCATTTCCACCAGTCTCATCGCCTCCCTTCTCCTCCCCTTTCTTCACTGCGTTGCGTGCAAGAGTAAAACACATCTCGGTAGCCTAGTGGCTAGCAGGGAGGACCACGAATGCACACAAGTAGGTTCGGGTCCTCGTTCTTTTATTTTTATTTTTCTTATTTTTTCAAACTTAAAAAGCCGTTTTCGAAAGGTTTGGCAAATGGGAAACACTTTTCTGAACATTTTCTATGATCTGCAATGATTTTCGAATGATTTCTTTTTTTTTTGTACTTTCCAGTCGATTTTAAGCAATATTTGAGTAATTATGACTTTTGCCAGATCGGGCCTGTGACCAAATCGGGCCTGTGAGCCCTGATAATTCTCAAAATATGATTA